CCACACCTATATTGAATATCAGCAGGTTAAATAGCTTTTCCACACTTCAATGTCTTTAAAGTCTCTCTAACTTCGATTTTACTAATATGCCGATAAAAACAAAAATCTTTATTTTCATTTAGGATGCTAAAGTCAATTGTTTTCTCACAGACTTCATTAGAAAGCTTATCAAAATATCTTATCCAACTTTGTTCAACATCGTTTTCTAATAAAAACATTTTTTTATCTTCACCCTTAATGCACTTCACTTGAATATCATATAAATCATTACAAACTAAATTTTTTGCATCACATATTACTTTATTAGACTCCTTCTAGACCTCTTTATATATTCCACAGTTTTTTTAATTTTTACATTTAAACCAATTTTTATAATAAAGCTTCTAATTTTGTATCTTTTATTGTAAATTTTGATTTCACCGCCAACTATTTTTAATATTATAATTTTTTTTCTTTTGATACTCCAAGTAAAACTAAGTCCTAGTTACTAATAAATATTTCCCCAAGTTATTCATGCATAAGTCCACAAATGTATTCCGAAAGTTATGATGCATAGATATGCAATCAATTAAATGGGTATAATTCCAAATTATGTCAACAAAATGAAATTTTCAATTCATAACATCTTACCATAAATGAAGTCAGCCAAATAATTACATAATTGATGTATAAACTTTGTTCGAATTAAAAATATTACTTTAGGGCCCTTTGGTTTAATGTTATCAAAAAAATAAAGTTCCTTTTAATAATGTTGCTCCATATGAAATGTGATAAATTTTGTTCAGTAATATATTACTTAATTTTTATTATTTACAATGATCAAATGTAACAAGTATTTCTTATTTTAACTTTTCTTTTGTCCGTCAAATAGGATGATGTTAAAATCGTAAAAATTTTGATTGACATCCAAACGCCAACATAATAAGACTTAAATCGTAAAAATTTTGATTGACATCAAAATTTTGGATGTAGCATTTAGGCAAGAATTTAGGCAAGATTTGAGCTAAATCCTGCCAAACGCCAAAAAATACAAAGATAAATCTCACGGTAAGTCTAATATCTACTTTGTTGCTATTTTTTGTCCTAAATCCTGGATTTCGTAAATCCGACTTTTTTTTTTTTTTGGATTTCATAAGTTTGATTCAAGAAGTGCACGAAAGGAGAGAAATATTGCTACCTTCATGTCTCTAAGAGTAAATCCACTCATCCACCTAAGAACCCGCATCTCAGCAATACTTAACTTAATATTATGCTTCTCTTTAAATGACCAACATTCTGTGCCATAAAAAATTGCAGGTGTCACCGCCGTCTTTTATAAATTTTTTCCTTAAGTTTGAGTGTTACTTTTCTATCACACAACAAACCCGAACATTTCTCCACTTCAACCATCCAACTTGAATTCTACTAATAATAACTCATTTATTTCACCATCACTCTGAATAATAGACCGAAGATATATAAAATGAGTACACTTACTAATGAGTAATGACTTGATCGCTCGAAGTCGCAAACCCCCCACTATATCTATTACTACTAAAATTACACTCCATGTATTCGGTTTTAGATCTACTCAAACGAAAACCATTAGACTCTAAGGTTGACCTCCATAATTCAAGTTTACCTTCAACTCCCTCTCTAGTCATATCAACAAGAAGAATATCATCAGCAAAAAGTATACACAAAGGTACATCCTCTTGCAAATGTCTAGTGAGAACATCCATGACTAACGCAAAAAGATAAAGGCTTAAGAATGATCCTTGATGTAATCCAACTAAAATAGAGAAATATTTGGTCAAACCTTGTACTTGTACACAAGTAATAGCTCTTGCATACATATCTCTAATGACTTTAATATAAGCATTATTAACCTCTTTCTTTTCTAGAACTCATCATAGAGCTTCTCTTGGAACTTTATCATATGCTTTCTCTAAATCAATAAATATCATAAACTATTTTTTCTGGGATTTCATAAGTCTGATTCAAGAAGTGCATGAAATGGGAGAAATATTGTTACCTTCATGTCTCTAAGAGTAAATCCACTCATCCACCTGAGCACCCGCATCTCAACAACACTTAACTTAATATTATGCTTCTCTTTAAATGGCCAACATTCTATGCCATAAAAAATTGCAGGTCTCACCACCATCTTATAAAGTTTTCCCTTAAGTTTGAGTGTTACTTTTCTATCACACAACAAACTCAAACATTTCTCCACTTCAACCATCCAACTTGAATTCTACTAATAATAACTCATCTATTTCACCATCACTCTGAATAATAGACCGAAGATATCTAAAACGAGTACATTTATTAATGACTTGATCGCTCGAAGTCACAAACCCCCGACTAGATTTATTACTGCTAAAATTACACTCCATGTATTAGGTTTTAGATCTACTCAAACGAAAATCATTAGACTCTAAGGTTGACATCCATAATTCAAGTTTACCTTCAACTCCCTCTCTAGTCTTATCAACAAGAAGAATATAATCAGCAAAAAGCATACACAAAGGTACATCATCTTGCAAATGTCTAGTGAGAACATCCATGACTAATACAAAAAGATAAAGGCTTAAGATTGATCCTTGATGTAATCCAACTAAAATAGGGAAATATTTTGTAAAACCACCTTGTATTTGAACACAAGCAATAGCTCCATCATACATATCTCTAATGACTTGAATATAAGCATTATTAACCTCTTTCTTTTTTAAAACTAACCATAGCACTTCTCTTGGAACTTTATCATATACTTTCTCTAAATCAATAAATATCATATGTAGATCCTCCTTATTCTCTCTAAACTTCTCCACCAACCCTCTCAGTAAATGATAGATTCCATTGTATACCTACTCGACATGAATCCAATTTGATTTTGAGAAACATTTGTATCACATCGTAACCTATGCTCCATAAATGTCTCCTAAAGTTTTAAAGTATGACAAATCAACTTAATTACTTATTACTCTATAATTCGTGCAATCTAGTGCAACACCTTTATTCTTAAAAATAGGAATCAACAAACTCATTCTCCACTCATCTGGCATCTTTTAAGACTTCAAAATAATATAAAAATGTTTAGTAAGCCAAGAAATTCATTCATCTCCTAAGCATTTTCACACATCTATTGGAATATAATCAAGTTCACTAGTTTTTCCACACTTCATTTTCTTTAAAGTCTCTCTAACTTCAATTTTACTAATACGCTAATATAAAATATTTATTTTCATTTAGTGTGTTAAGGTCACTAAAGTCAAACGTATTCTCACAATCTTCATTGAAAATCTTAGCAAAAGATCTCATCCACCTTTGTTGAACATCCTCTTCTAAAAAAAATACTTTTTGATCTTCATCTTCAATGCACTTCACTTGAACTAAGTCCTTACTAATATATCTGTGTTTAGCTAACTTATACATATATCTTTCACCCTCATTAGAATATAAGATATTATATAAATTATTAAGAACTAAAATCTTTGTATCGCAGATTGCGTTCTTAGACACCTTACGATCCTCCTTATATCTTTCCCAATTTTCAGAGTTTTTACATCTAAACTAATTATTATAACAAAGCTTCTTAATTTGTATCTTTTCTTGCACATTTTGATTCAACCACCAACTATTTTAATTATTATGAGAATTTCCTTTTGAAACTCCAAGCACATTATTTGCAACTTTTTTAATATTACTAACTATTTGTTTTCACATAACATTCGCTTCCTCATGCACAGACAAAATCTTAATATCTCGAATCTTACTTTCAAAAATATTTTTGTTAGTATTCTTTAAATGCCCCCATCTAAACTTAGAACAATATTTTACTATATTTTTCATATTTTGCCTGTTCAACTTAAAGTCCAAAACCAAAAAGCAATGTTGGGTACATAAACTTTCACTCGGACTAACTTTACAATCTTTACAATCTAAACTATCTTTTTTTTTATAAGAAAATAATCAATTTGAATTTTACTATATCTATTTTTATAAGTGACGAGATGTTCATCTCTTTTCTTAAATAAGGTATTAGCAATTATAAAATCATAAGCTATAGCAAAATCTAATATAGCCTTACCATCTTTATTAGTTTAATATCATTATTTTATAAAATCTTATTGTCCGTACTTTTCAAAAAAAATTATTTTATAAAATCTTATTGTCCGTACTTTTCAAAAAAAAAATTATTTTATAAAACCTTAAATAGAAAAAATTTTATAGGATTAGGATTTTCAAGCCTGAAGCCACCCTAAATAAAAGTATTCTACAAATACAAATCTCTTCCTCTAATCAAAATTTAATTAGTATTAAAAGGCAATTAAAGGCTCTTTTAACTAGGCCAGAATTTCTCTAACCATATAAAAAATCATGCCAATGAGCATTTGTTAGTTGGTATGACCTCAAAATTAGAAAATGTGAATTGAGATGTACAATTACCACTCATTTTGGGTAGTTTCAAATATAATAATGAGTAAAATTCATGCTAAAATCCTTAAAGCTCAAGGCTTAAAATGAATCAATAAAGTTAATTAATTATCTCGTTAATTAGACAAACATATGTTCACTAACAAAGCAAATCATTGAATAAACAATTGACCGCTTCGTTAGGGTTTACATATGCCTCAAACAATGAAGAAGAAGAATAAGTACTCACCAGTGCCACCAGGTGTTCCGATACTAAAATAACACCATAATGCATCCCCGGCAACCCCTCTTTCAATATCAGGTAGATTAGAAAAAACTTTAAACAGGGAGATGAAGGAGAAGGGGAGAGGTAGAAAATAGAGGGCGTAGACTTAGGGGCTGTTTGGTATCGGATTTACAGCGGGATTTAAGTCGGCTTTACGATAAATCCAGCCAAACGGTTTTTGTGCGCACGTTAAATCCCGACGGTTGGTAAATCCCGGATTTAAGGATTTACTGCTTAAATCCCGGATTTACTAAATCCTCGGTTCGGCGGATTTAAGGGATTTGGCCGAAGAAGCGCGCGAAAGGTAGAAAGTTACCTTCACAGCTAGCGAGCTCCCCTTGTTGCTTCCGATCAAAATGTCGTAACTTCCGATCCGACAGGAAGGGAAAGTCAATGAAGGAGCGAAGTAAAACAGCCACGAATGAGCCGAAGAAGCGATGCTTGCAATCTCTACACCTCCTGCGAAGCAACAAGCCGAACAGCAACGACGAGAAGAGAAGCTGACACGCAAACCCTTTCGCCTCTAAGTTATTATTGTTAACTTAATTAATGCAATTTAAAATATTAACAATTAAGTAAATTAATTAAATTATTAATAGTATAATTAGTGGATAAATTAATTGATAAATTATAAATTAAATATTAATATAATTAGTTTAATTAATATAACTTAAAATATATATTATTAAATATATACTTAATAGTGTAAATAATAATTATTGAGTAACTTATACTTAACACGTTATTAAGCTCACAATATATTAATTTTTTTATTATAAATTTATTTTTTAATATATAATTATCTTCTTCACAAGATCAAAAAATTTCTCAAGATTTAAGAGTGTTGCGTCCAGGAGTATTTGCGGTGGTTGAGTTAGAAAGTTTACGTCTTAGCGTTGTACGAAAATCTGGCACGCAATCAGATAAGAGAAAGAGAGTGTAGCATTTATAAGAGACACCAAGATTTTTACGTGGAAAATCCCTGAAAATGGGGGAAAACCCACGGGGCCAGCCCAGTTTGAAGGAATTCACTAATATTGCAGTTAATTACAAATAAGGTCTTTCCTTAGGGGAAGTCCTTGGCTTGATGTACATCATATTGAGTACATTACATGGTATGAATTCAAAGATTCACAGTTGACGTGTTTGTTTGTTCAGAATGTCCATAGTCTGGTGATGGAGGTCAGAAGGACCGTAGTCAGCAGGCGACATAGGTCATAAATACCGTTGTCTGGTGACGGAGGTCAAAATGATTATAGTCGGTGGGCGACGTAAGTTAGGAGGACCGTAGTCGGCTAGCAACGGAGGTTGGAAGGACTGTAGTATGTGAACGACGTAAGTCAGCAGGACCGTAGTTGGCGGGCGACGGAGTTCGGAAAGACTATAGTCAGTGGGTGGCGTAAGTCAGAAGGACCTTATTCGCAGGCGACGGAGGTCAGAAGGACTGTAGTTTGTGGGCGACGTAAGTTAGCATGACCGTTGTCGGCATGAGACAGAGGTCGAAAGGATTGTTATTTGACGATGAATGTCAGAAGGATGACATCAGGTAGAAATCCAGCAACGGATAGAAATCCATGATAGTATAGATGTCCAGCGAAAGTCCGGCGAGCGGAGGTCTAGCGTCGGGTAGAAGTCCGACGTCAGTTGGCGGCCAAGGAGAATTCCGGCGTTAGATGGTATTCGGGCAGAACTCTGGCGTCACTTGGAGGTCGGGCGAAATTCCGGCATCACTTGGAAGTCGGACTGAATTCCGACGATGGTCAAGGAGGAGTTTCTTCCCTCCTATTCTTCTATTATCCTCTTCTTCCTTCCTCCTTGTCTTCTGGCTTGGCCCTTGAGTCTCATCTCAAGAGAAATGATGGCCTATTTATAGATATTATGGAGTGGCATGACCTGTAAATAGATGAGAGATCAGGAGTAAATGAGGAGTGGTTTGATGGACGTTCGATATTTAATCCCTTGATCATCTGTTGTTCGTCATACATTTGAAGGTCTTAATGATGTCGGAATTTGGAAATATTGGGCTCGTTGGATTTTTCTCGTTGAGCCGCTCGATTCGACTATAAGTACATCATGTTTTAAAACTGTTTGATAAATCAAATTGCGGTTCGAACATTCCAATAACGATTTGGTCCTTGATTTGGACTCATTTGGACTAGGATTGAGTTGAATTTGGTGTCGTTGGATTTGTATTTCCGAGACGCTCAGATTGACTATAAGTTTGTTGGAATCGGAGTTCAGGTGATCCCAGATTTAATTTTTGAAGTTTCCGGTTTGATTTTCCTCGAGATTCGTGCCCGATCAAGATAATTAACTGATAAGTTATCAAAGAGGATTTTACATTAGTCATACCCAACAATATTCACGAATTAACACCTTCAAAATTTACTAAATTCGAATTTACAACATTTATTAAATCTCATTAAAGTTAAATCTCTGCCAAATACTCAAATAGGCCCTTAGCCTGTAATTAGCCACATTTGCCGACCTCGATAACATCTCGTGCTCGAAGCTCCTCACTTGCACCACTAGTTCCTCTCTTACTCTATATTCCTCGGGTTCTCTGTCCCGCATGCAATCACTGTCTCGAGCACTGAACCTAGTGGGCTTGGTCCCTGGTGGAATTTTTTAAAACGAAGGGTACGCTAATAGTAAATTAGTAGAAAGATCAAGACTAGGATAAATTTTTAAAAATAGTTTATTTGATAAAAAAAAAGTTTAGTGAATTCTAATTTTCTGACCAAAATGTCAAAGCTTTTGATAATTTCTTCACAAATTTAAAGAAAATGCTAAAACTTTTTGCGAAAATAATTGAGAATGCTATAGTAATTGTGGTGTTCCTCTCAACTCATTTTGAGAGAGAAGGTGATATGAGAGAGAGATGAGGGCGATCATGTCACACCTCATTTTATCAACGAATTATTACGTCCGGTTATCGGATGTCTGGACAATCAATCCAGACGCGTCACGTCACCCGAATATACTGGGTCCCGATGTATTTTGGTGACATGTCGCGTTTGGATTGGTGTCCGGATAAATTCAGACACTGGACGTAATAATTTGCCCATTTTAACCCCTCTAATATATGGAGAAACTAAATAGGCTTATCTTCTTAGCACTCATCCTAGAACAATTATTACGTCCTTTGACCTGACGTAGAGCTACGTTCGGCCGCCAATAACATGTCGCCACTGCTCTTACTCTAAACCGCGCAGCCCGACGACTTGACCCGGAGCGGAACCCGAAAATGCTATGTTCGCGATTTTCTCGGTATCTCGGTATTTGCTAGGTATTGCTTTGTAAAAATGAGAAATACCGCTCTGTGAAGACTAATACCGAGTTGTACCGAGTTTTTTACAACTCGGTACAACTTGGTATTTGCTCAGGATTTGCTCGGTATTGCTAGAGATTTGCTCGGTATTGCTAGGTATTTGCTCGGTATTGCAAGAAAAAACTCAGTACAACTCGGTACAACTCAGTATTTGCTCAGGATTTGCTCGGTATTGCTAGGTATTTGCTCGGTATTGTTAGAAAAAACTCAGCACAACTCGGTATTGCTAGAAAAAACTCAGTACAACTTGGTGCTAGATATTTGCTCGGTATTGTTAGAAAAAACTCAGTACAACTCGGTATTGCTCAGGATTTGCTCGGTATTTGCTCAGGATTTGCTAGAAAAAACTCAGTACAACTCGGTGCTAGGTATTTGCTCGGTATTGTTAGAAAAAACTCAGTACAACTCGGTATTGCTCAGGATTTGCTCGGTATTGCTAGGTATTTGCTCGGTATTGTTAGAAAAAACTCAATACAACTCGGTATTGCTCAGGATTTGCTCGGTATTTGCTCAGGATTTGCTAGAAAAAACTCAGTACAACTCGGTACAACTCGGTATTGCTAAAAAAAACTCAGTACAACTCGGTATTGCTAGAAAAAACTCAGTATTTGCTCGGTATTGCTAGGGATTTGCTCGGTATTGCTAGAAAAAACTATTATTTTCTATCGACTCCAAGGCAGCGCAAGCCGAAGCTTCTCCGACCCTATCTCCTTCTCCATATGTTGATCTTCCACTAACCTTTCTCCATTTTTTCAGCAAAGTCCGATGCCTCCACCTCTTCAAGCCTAAGGCAACCCTTTCGATCCCTTCAGCATAGAGAGAGAGAGAGAGAGAGAGAGAGAGAGAGAGAGAGAGAGAGTGAGAGAGAGAGAGAGAGCTTCTTCCCATTACTCTCCGACGTCATTCCCTTCTTCAGGATGGAAAGTTACTCCATTTTGATCGCAAGCAAAAACGGGAGCTCGTTGTATCTCTCTTATACGCGGTTCTTCGGCCAAATACTTTGGGAGAGAGTTAAAAAAACGCATGTGCAAGAACCCAAAAAATAGCGGGTCGGGTCGGCGTCTTTTCTTCCTGCTACGTGGCGCTAATACATTGATGGCCGAACGTAGAAGAACGTAAGTTCACCGGACCAAATAAAAGTTCCTCATCCTAATATACTTCTAAACATTTTTTACAGTCTCGTTAACAAATGCGAGTGAGAGCGAGGGAGAGCGGAGAGATAGGTTCTGGCCAAAGATGGAGAATCCCTTCTACATCTGCAAACCCAAAAATCAAATTCTCATTCCCTTCTTTAAACCTAAAATTCCCTCCAAAATATCTCGCCATGCCCAAAACCTCATTGCCGCGTCCTCAGAAGCGGAGACACCACTGCCGCTACCGCCTCAAACTCGAAGACCAGGAGACCGCCAGCTCCTTCGTCTCATCCACGCCGGAAAGCTCCAAGAAGCTGTCTCCGCTCTAGACTCCGGTACTCCCATCGCAACTCGAACCTACCTCTCGCTTCTCCAAGCTTGCATCGATTACGACTCAGTGGAAGCCGGCCGCCTTCTCCATTCATCCTTTCCCTCTGTGAAGGACCCGAACCCCTTCGTCGAGACCAAGCTTGTCAGCATGTATGCGAAATGTGGGGACTTGGACAATGCCCGTAAGGTGTTCGAGCAAATGCGCCAAAAAAATCTTTTTACCTGGTCTGCTATGATTGGAGGCTGCGGAAGGGAAAACCGGTGGGAAGAGGTTGTGGATCTATTCCATCGAATGGTTCTTGAAGGTGTGAACCCAGATGCCTTTTTGCTGCCCAAGATCCTACAAGCGTGCGCCAATATAGAGGATATTGTTACTGGGAGATTGTTACACTCGCTTACAATCCGATTGGGGTTTTTGGGGGAGAGTCATGTTGGGAATTCCATACTCAACTTGTATGCGAAGTGTGGTGATTTGATCATGGCAAACAAAATTTTCGATAAACTTAATGTAAAGGATAGAGTGACCTGGAACTCAATCATCTCTGCACATTGCCACTGTGGCCAAAATGACGATGCTTTCAAGCTATTTGAACAAATGAGGAATGAAGGGATTGAACCTAGCTTGATCACGTGGAATATACTAATTTCTAGTTATAACCAGTGCGGGAAACCAACAATTGCTCTCGATCTGATGAAAAAGATGGAGAGTTGCGGGATTATCCCTGATGTCTTCACATGGACCTGCATAATCTCAGGTTTGTCGCAGAATAACAAGATAAATCAATCACTGGATCTTTTTCGAGAGATGTGTACATCTGAGGTTGAACCAAACAACATGACGGTCGCTTGTGCCATCTCTTCCTGTGCTACTCTGAAATATTTGAAAAATGGTAGAGAGCTTCATGGCTATGGAATTAAAAATGGAGGTGTGAGCAATTTACTGGTGATTAACTCATTAGTTGACTTGTATTCAAAATGTTGGAAGTTAGAAGACGCTGAAAGAATTTTTAATGTCATTGACAAGAAGGATATTTTTACCTGGAATTCAATGATAGGAGGGTACATGCAGGCTGGTTACTGTGGGAAGGCACATGAACTCTTCTTAAGGATGGAGACTTTAGGCTTTCGGCGAAATGTTGTGACATGGAATGTGATGATTTCTGGGTATATTCAGAACAAGGAGGAGGAACAAGCGATTGAACACTTTCAGAAGATGGAAGTTGTTGGAATCAGAAAGAATGCAGCTTCATGGAATGCCCTTATCTCTGGTTTCTTGCATAATGGAGATGCCAACAAGGCATTCAGAGCTTTTCGTCAGATGCAATTGGGTTCTGAGAAACCAAATTCCATTACCATCTTGAGTATAGTTCCCTCTTGTGCCAATTTAGTATCAGCATGGAAGGTAAAGGAGATCCATGCCTATGTGCTTCGCAGCGGTTTACGTCCCGATCTTCCAATTTTGAATTCCTTCATTGATACTTATTCAAAGTCGGGTGACTTGACCAGTGCTCTAACTTTGTTTAATATTCTACATTCCAGAGATCACATTTCCTGGAATTCAATGATTGCTGGATGTGTTTTGCATGGTTGTTCCCAAGCTGCTCAGGAACTACTAAACCGCATGAAGCTAGAAGGTCTGAAGCTAAATCAGTCAACTTACACAAGTATGATTCGTGCTTATGGTCTCGATGAATTGGTGAATGATGGAAAAGAGGTCTTCATGGACATGAAAGATCAAAACTTTTCTCTAGGTATGGAATTTTATGCAGCCATGGTTGAACTGTTTGGTCGATCTAAAAGGCTTATGGAAGCATATAATATGATCAAGGAAATGCCAATTGCGCCCGACTTCGCCGTCTGGAACGAATTACTGACAGCAGCGAGATACTGTGGTAATGTTAAGCTTGCTAGTCTTGCTACTGAGAATCTGAGTAGCTTGGAGCCTAAGAATCCAATAATACAAGCTCTATCATCAAGCTTACAAGCTATATGTGGTAACTCAATTGATGTATCAAACATGAAGAAGCCATGGAAGGAGAGTAAGGAATATGACTTATATTCTTGTTGCTGGATGGAAGATAGGCACCAGGTTTATACCATTTTCACCAATGACAAAACGGTTGAGTCTGAATCTACTAAGTTGGTAGAATTTAGTCGAATAGCAAAAGAGATCAAGACAAACAACAGTGATACGAGGCTTGACATTGAAGAAGAATTGGAAGAAGATGATGAGGTCCACTGTGAGAGGAAAGCAATCATGTTCTCTCTTGTGAGAAGACCATCCTCAAAAGTTATAAGAATAATCAAGAATGTGAGAATGTGCGCAAAATGCCATGGCACTGCGAAGCTTGTTTCCAGGTTGTATGGTCGCGACATTCTGATCAAGGATACGAAGTGTTTGCATTATTTCAGGAATGGCAAGTGTTCTTGCAAGGACTATTGGTGATCTGATGAGAAGTTTAGTTGGAGTTTTTTTGCAAGGGTTGCGGGGAATTTGGCTGAGAAACGGACGTCTTCCAGTCCAAAATCTTGATTTTGGCAATAAAAATATTTGGTAAAACATCCATGACTGTCTTTTAGGGGAACAAAATGTCGCATCTCCTGACCTGAATCCTGAAGGAAAAAATACAGAGGATTTTTTTTTTGGCTGAGTGAGATCTACTTTCATTAAGAAAATATAAGAAGTTGTGCTGTAATTAGAACGCCAAAATCTTAATTCCAAGGTGTGATCATGAGTGGGTGCAATGCGCCACAAAGTAAATAAGCAAACACCAGCAAACAGGCATCATGAATATTGAATATTGAATAACATGGTTGAACTTTAATCAAGCTTATAGTACAATCACTGGCTATTCGATAATCCATAGTGCTGTTGTAGAAATCCATAGTGCTGTTGTAGATATCCATACGTTGGTTTCAATAAGAGTCGTCACTCTGTGCCCGTCGGCATATCAATCTCCTTATGACTCTCAATCGTTATATCAATGATCAATAGTTTAAAGGAAAGCCCGTCGGCCCACCATCCTGTACAGGTCAAGTCAATCTCCAACCAGCGATTCAACCAGGTTCCACTTGTCTTTCAGTATCAATAATCAGATAGTCACATTCGTATGCATATCAATTCAAATCATCAATTTCAGAAAATTGAAAATCGTACGAAAATCCAGCGGCATAACAGCAGTATACGAAATTTACACAAAAGTTCCTAAAAATCACAATTTACCAAATTAATACAGAACGTGCACGACAACATTATAAGACTTCTATTCTACTGAAGCAACATCAATCAACATCCTGATATTTATCTATTCGATCAAAATCGCACAGAACCCAAAATAACCGGTAGAATCGTTACAGAAAATACTCAAAACATGTAGAAAAATCATATCAATAACATATCAAAAGTTGTGCGGTGAAAGTTTCGTCAATACAAAATACGGCGCATTTTTCGGTAACGAAAACACAAATCTGTGCACAAAACGATCAAAACTCAACATCTTCGAAAACAAAAATAGGATTCGGAGTCCTTATCACGAGATAAACACTTTTCCCAACAGCGGCGTCGGACGAAAAGCGCTCTGCGGCCTCCGGAAACCAGCTTTTCCTTTGCTTTCCTTCTCTTTCTCTCTCCTCAGATATTTTGTTTTATAAAAATGATTTTCTCTCTCCTAAAAAATGAGCTGATTTCCTTATAAAACAAAAATGATCGGCCCGGCCGATCGCCATATCGTTCAGGACGATCTGAACAAAATTCAATCGTCCAGGACGATATCTCAGAACGATAATTAATTTCTTGGACGATTTGCTCTCTGACTTGTGTCATGCTCTGATCGTCCCAAGACGATCCACTCCAGAAAATCAGTTGTATTCACTGCACTGATCGTCCTGGATGATCTCAATATCGTCCCGGATGATCCTGGGAGGAAAATCAGATCCATAAAGGAAAAATCAAAGGAACGAGCTCTCACAGATTGGCCTCCATATGTGTCCTGACATCGCAAAAAATAACCTCTCATATTAAATAGGTTCTGATGGAAATTTCGTCTGATTTATTTATCATAAACAAAAAAAAATCTTCAATGCGGAGATCGGATGCAGAATGATGTTCGGAGACCAACCAGAATGCGTCACGTCAGCAGCACCGGGCAGTACCGAGCCGCGGTACCGAGCGAAGGGGTGATGTGGCGCATTCTAGTTGACCTCTGGACTACATTCGGCGTCCGCTCATAATAATTAATCCAGAAACCAATGGGATTTTCGTCGATTCTCCAGCAAATTCGTCTTTCATTAAAGAGGTGGCAACATTTTTGGCGGTCATTATCAGAAAATTTCATCGAATGCATTGCAATTTTGTGTTCATCCTATGAAGTCTAGTATTCTCTTGTAGCCTCAAGAAGATGAATCTACTGATATTAAAAGTGATTCAATTTAATTCTAAATAAATTCAAATCAAACACTTGAATCACATAGGGATACTTTAGACCATTAATTAAAGGATTAAATGGTCTTCAAAATTTTCGTGTGTATGGTCAAATTGAGCAGCTTGCATATTGAATAAATAATTCAATTAAGACAATTCTAATGAATTCAAGTTCATCCAATTTTGAGATTATCGAAGTAATCAAATATTGAATAAATAATTCATAATCAAGCAGATTAATATGAGTAATTCGATGGAATATTTTTTATTCTGGCCCAATTTATTAAAATACTTGTCTAAAAAGTTATAACATGATTCCATTTTCTACATAATGGTTTTAAAGTGCAGAGATATGAAGAACTCTATTGTTTTGCCCAATAGTCATCGTCAACGAACACCATCCGCAACAATGGCTATCAATTCATCACTTGACTTTTGTCGTCGGATAACTATTGCTTGAGTACCAACATCCAACTTCATCATTTGATTGTAGCTATCTGATTATGAACCCTCAATCTTTATTATATTGTTATTGATCGACAAATGTCTCCACCATCCATAATTTTTTTTATAAACCATACAGCGGGAATCAAATAATTATTATGAATTGTAACATCGTCTTTGGTGAAAAAGCAAGCTCTAGCATCTTTAATTATAGATTATTGCAAATGGAGTAAGCCCCAGGGTTTATGCCTTTTTGAATTTTTCACATAAAATTTTTGATGTTATTGCAACTTTTACATGTGTATGGTTTTTATATGAAACTAAGACTTTGTTGGGACGGCTTTCTTACTGCTTCTTAAAGCAGCTTTCTAGTATAAAATTTTTAATTTTAAGGTCGAAAGTTGTTTCTAAGAAGCAATTAGAAAGTCGTGGGACGGCGTTCTAGAAAGCTGCTTTAAGAAATAGTAAAAAAAAAAATGTCACAAATATATTAATATTAATATATGGGTTTAATATTTATTATAAATATGATGTTTACTAAAATTAATATATTCTTATTATTAAAAAATATTATTTTTTAATATAGTTATATATAATTGTTTTTATTGCTCCTTTATCTTGATATATTTGTATCAACATATTTCTATGTTCTATAAAAAAATCATTGTTATTCTAACAATTGGCAAAACTTGGTTAAATATAAATCCTAGCCTTATTAAATCATTCCAATCCAATTTAGGGCCACCTACTATTCTTAATTAATTTCATTTACAAACCCATCTGGTCACAATGTTTGTGTTTGTTGGCCATTTATTTTTGTTGGTTATAGTTAAGATATTTCTATTGCTTGAGAGTCAATTGGAATTCCAACGGGGGAGAAATATGTTACAAATTTATGATAAATTTTGCATAAATTTTTAATTTTGTTGGTTGGGCTTCATTTGTGACGACTTTCTTATTACTTCTTAAAATGGAGTTTTAGTAAAACAATAAAAATTAATGCAAGTTTCAAATACGTATTCTATTTATTATATATTCATTCTTTGGTACATGCTATAGTTGTTGATATCATTAAAGACATCCTAAATAGTCTAAAGGGCAAGATGATAAATGATACGACAACAAAAAGTCGTATGGGAACCCAGGAATTAAAATAAACCTAGTCTTATATAGAAAAAGATTTTCTCTTCGGAGATATAATGATTATAGAGAATTGTCTCTATGGGAACCCATGATTCCAGTCTAAAATAAACCCCGTCTTAGTTCGTTATGATATGGGGAAAATCTTCTGGACATCAACTAAAGCTAATCCTGTGTTAGTTTCGTTTTTAAAATGATAGGTGAATGTGAATTTTATCGTTTAGGATAATTTTTACATTCTCTATGCCGAATTTGAATGTGAAAATAAATTATTTTCTTTCTTCAATATGGTGTAAGTTTGCCTTTCGAGATAATTAACACTTATTATGTAAATATATCTAAACAAACATTTAAAAAAAAAATCAATGGTACAATCATAATAAAAAGGAGTTGAGAAAGTCATGAGAAATTCATTTGAGAAGGATATGGATACTATGGTGACATGTGAATGTTGAGGAATGAGTGGTGAGTAAGTCACCATGGCATTTTGCTGCTAACGTACATTAATGGCTGTGGTGGTGCATGCATTGGCTTCAAGTAACTAAGAGTATGTAATTTTTTATTTATTTAGAAATTTTGATATTATATGAGCAAATAAACAATTTTAAATACTTGATATGTAAATATTAATAATTTTAGATGGTATATGCCTTGATACATCTATAAAAAATCACCTTGATCGAACACAAATCTCGATGAAAATATGAACAAAAAATTATCATAATTAAATTTAGGATCATCCAAGATCTGATTTTAACAAACTTATAGTCAAATTGAATATCTAGAAGAGACGAATACAATGACACCAAAATCAGTTCAATCTGAGCCCATCCGAGACCAAATCAAAGGTTATTGAGCCCAAATCAAAGGTTCAAAGCATAATAGGAGGGTCTAAAGCATCAATTAGATAATCAAATGATTGTAGAATATGACATTCTAATAGTCAGATCGATCAGCTTGATAAGACAAATCCAACAAGCCCAAAATCACTTAATTGTGACATCATTAAGACATAAAAATGATTGATAAATGTTATATGATCAAGGGAATCACTATCAGTCATCTGATGAAACACTCCCAATATGCCCTTAATGTTCTCCATATTTACTAGTTACGACACTCCCAAAAAATTATAAATAGCCCGTCATTCTTCACATGAGGGGGTAGAAAGAAAAGGAGAAAACATGGATAGCTACCTTGCATCGACCACCACCAAATCTCTTCTCGACCATCGACTGTCGCTGGACTTCCACCTATTCGTCGGCTTCCATCGAATCTCTTTCCGACCACCTCCAACTCCCACCATGTAATGTGCTCTATATGATATATATTTGCTACATGGAGCCAAGGCCTTCCCCCCAATGCATATGACCTCATTTGTAATCAACTGCAAACACTAGTGGATTCATTCAAACTATGAGAGGCCCTGTGGTTATTCCCCCTTTTTAGGAGTTTTCACGTAAAAACTTTGGTGTCTCATGTGAATGCTGCAACCCTCTATTTTTTATGTATTTGTATGAAGCTATGACACTAAACTTTATATATCTCTATTGTTGTGAATTTTTCAAGACTCAACAGTTTGGTGTTATCTGTGGAAAATGATTCATAACTGGAGGATAAACTTTTCTATAATCTCGAAAGGTCATTCACAACAACTTCCTAGGTTGAAGCAAGAAGTCCCTTTGATTCCTAGCTAGGGGGCAACCTTATGCAATTTTTTTATCACCCTTTAAATATAAATCAATGTTGAATCAATATTATGGAAAAAAAAACTTTGGACAACTTTGTCAGCAGCTTCCACTACA